CACTTGCAATAAGCTGTATCTTGTTCCGGGCTTGATAACGGTAAAGAACGTATTTTGAGTCGTACCGCAAAGAGGATTTCGTTTTGTCTACTGAGCAGATCGATATTGAGGAACCTTGTGCTGTAGATTGTATCCGTTCTTTCATACACATGTAGATATATACACCGCCCCTGGATTTACAGGATGGAATGGATCCAAGATCTACATACCTCGATTTACGCACATGTTCGTGTTTTCCGATGTGGTATCCGCATCTTTTATTGCTGATATAAACGAGTAGACTACAGCCTACGGGCAATACATAGCCACCCCACAGCAAGAACTGCTGCTGTACAGGAGCAACAAGTGTCAAGCTCAAGGATAATGCCGTATACTACCCGGCACATGCAACCACCGAGCGACCGCTCGAATACCCTCAACGTCTCTCTCACTTAGGTATGCAGAACGTGAATGGAGGAAGATGTGCCGGGCCTGACTGCTCGAAGCAGCCACGCTTCTCTCTGCCCGGAGAGAAGGGCAAGTATTGTTCCAAGCACCGAAAGGAGGGCATGGTCGACGTTCTCTACACGGTGAGCGCCATAATCCACACGGGACGTAACCAACAAAAACCAACGAAAGACGGGAAGCTCTCACTAGTTTGTTTTTTGCATGTGTGTTCGATCCACCGCATATGAGTACGTCACTCACCAATTACCTACTCGCAAATGACTGCGGCGGTGTCAGTCTCGGTAGCGAGGATAACCACAAAAAAGCATATCGACTAAGACCAATAATATGTCTCGCCCTTTTGATATCAAAATACACCTATTTTTGCCCTGTTCTCCCCGGCAGACACATTTCAGCTTTTCTCCAACGCTATTGACATGGGAAGCCAGTATGTCACGCTATTTATGGCAATCCGTCGTTTGAAGGAGTGGTAAGTGTGTCAGCATGTTTGCAAAGTTATTAAAATCCAGACCTGATGGATATGCCCACCAACGTCCTCGACCTCACCCCGCTCACCGTGCCTGTTGTTGGCCTTGCGTGCGGTACCCAACTCTCCTGATTTCCAATGTTATTGTAGCCCTGTGCTGCCGAAGGTTGCAGGAAGCACCCCCACTTTGGCCACGTGGAGGGCGGCCCGCGCTACTGCGCGCAGCACCGCGCGGAAGGGATGGTAGACGTCAAGCACAGGCGCTGCGCTGTCAAGAGCTGTCGCAAGGACCGCGTGGTGATCCCTGGCAGCGCTAAGAAGCGAGGAAAGTTCTGCGAGATCCATTGCGATGTCAACGAACTAGTGGACAAGGATGTGTCGAGCGATGGGACGGCCAGCGACAAGAAGCGCGGCCGTGCGTGGATGACGGGGATGTGAGAGAAAGTACTCTGTTGTTTAACAACGATTTGCGTTTCACCAGGGGGCCCCTTAGAACGAATACAAGCAAGCGAGAACTCGATGCACAAACCCAGACTTTGCCTTTTCCGCCCCAGAATAGGATGGACACACCTCCTGGAAAACGGTGTATCCAGTAGCAGGTGAGTGGTGCATGTGTTCACGAGCCGAAGTTCGTGCCCACTAAGCCGCACAATCTCGTTCTCTCATCACAGAGAGGACGACAGGGAGTACATGAGCTCGGGAAGCTCTCAGCGCGGCTCCTCCGTGGGAGACTTGGCAGGCAACACGCCGTACGACTACTCCTCGGGTAGGTCGGCGTCCATCCCGAGCATCCACGAAGCGGCGCAGGGGCTGGCGCACCTCGCTATGCTCGCTAGCAGGGAACGCGCTCTCAGCGTCGGCTGTGCAGCCGCCGGAACTTCTTTGTCGCGAGGGAATGACCATGATCCCGGCCGTGCTCCGTATCAGCAAGCCGGACAACCCGAGAGCACCCACCGCGGCACGGCAAGGCCTATCGCCGGCCGAGGGCCGTCTCATTCTAACGCCGAGCTAGGTGAGGACGAAAACTCATGGTATGCATGCACCAATCGATGTCTCGTCCATTTCTCCGTGTTATGCTTAACCCGGACGAGCGTAAAGTTCTTATCCCCTTGTTGATCATCAACCTTGTCCCGCTGACCCAATGCACGCTGCCTATCCCGTATCCGTACCAGACTGCCACGCCAAGTCGGGGGACACGAGGCCCTTCTTCTACCCTGCAGCTCAACCTGGCTCCGAGCGTGACCCATACCCCCTTTTCAAGCGAGAGAGGTTGCAGTCCAACGACCCGATCGAGCCCGGACGACCGATGGTGTCTCCGAATTTTCGCGGAAGCACCAGCGCCAGCATGGCCAGTGGCCCGGCGGCCGCGGCCGCCCCGCCGTTTCGCCTCCGCTACTTTGATCCCAAGCCCAACTCGTCCATGTACTCAGCCTATCCTATTCCGTGGGATTTCCCCAGGGAGGGAGAGCGCGCGCGTTGGGGTGACAGCGACAGCGTTCACGCGCCTGTGCCAACGCGCGCTTGGGACAGTCACCCGTCGGCTACCTGAAGAAGGTACGCACTATTTCTTGGGGTTGCTGAAAGTTCGTGTCACCCTTCGCTTTGTCGATCGAAACCTGTGTGTGGCAATTTGTTTTTTGGCGACTTGACAGCACCGTTCCCCCCTCATTGTTAATGTTGTGTCCGCTTCTTCTAACCATCGGATTGCCCACTGTACAACCGTCGTGGTTGCCTATGTATCGGCGCTATTCAGAACGGCGGGAGGTACCGCGAAGACATTGCGTCAGTTTCGCCTTTTCAGTGACCGGCCGCCTTGGCTGCTGAGCTTCTTTACATTGATTAGGGGGCGAGGGCAACGACGTGCTCACTACCCGCCGTCCAAGAACGGCCAACTGCCGCAGAAGCTTCTCCTGGGAAACCGGGCAGCTCACGCTCCTTAACTAAATTAGTGCAGACGGTACTGTTGCGGCACAATTTTCATCGCCACTCCGGTGAAAACTGTGAAAGCTGTCGTCCCGAGATAATTTTTAAAGCGTTGGTATATATTTTGCGCCATAGATATTGTCGATTCGCGGACGCTGGAAACAACTTCATCCTTAGTGGAGTTGATACACGAATGTGAGAGGTAGGGAAGTTTATGCCGGTTGGCTCAGTTTATAGCGTAGCACGAAGCGCCCAGGAAATGCGCGCGAATGAGGCTTTAGGGGTGCTCGTGTTGGAATATTGTTGCTTCGTTCGCCATTGCGGCGACGATGCGTTTTACTTTGACTTCTAGACACTCTATCGGGCTTGCAGGTAGGAAAGTTCGGTCGACAATGCGTGTTTGGTTGTTGATTCATGCGTGCGTGTGTGCCATCCTGTAGCGGTACACACAGTAGTGTACGACATCTTTTTTTTCGGCCGAACGTTTCGTCGAAGATGGGTGATACAGCAGTGTGTGAGTGTCTTTTTTTGTACTCTTGCGTATGGCAGGGATTTATTTTTTCTCATTGTTGACATGACAAGGCCAGAGTACGAAATCCGAAGGACTTTGCTTGTGTGAGTAGAAGGTTATCGAACTATCTACGTTGTTCCTCGTTTGTCTTTAGCCAACTATCAGCATGGGGCGAGTCTTTCGCCTCAGTCGCAGTTGGTATTTGATTTTTGATTGCGGTCGGTCCGCTGCTCGCTCACACTTGGGCGTCTGTTTTCTGTAAGTGTGATGGTTGTGAATCTAGCTTGATACGGTCGTTTAGCTCTGGCCGTCAGGCTTAGGGAAGGGAAGGATTATGTGTGTAGATAATGTAGTACGTCATCGGTTGGCTCTGTACCCCAAAAGCAGCAAATAGAAATAGCAACACCATCACGGCGGCGTGTTGGGGGTGTACTTTCAATCGTTGGCAACTTCGTTGTCATGCGAAATATGGCGGCACACGAACACATCGATTCCTCGTGCATGTGCACGGGAGTGGGGGAGGGGGCACGAGAAGGGTTGACCAGGAGGAGAAAGGCAATATATGGTGGTTGGTTCATAATTTAGTTTGAACAGGGCTTCGATACCAGAATGACGGTTCTTCTTCTCCCCATGAAAGTGGGGGCGCGAACTATGTAGTCCATGCATCTCGTATGCTTTCGGCTGTCGCCCAGACATTTTTTTTGGATCAGGTCCAGCCGCTTGTTGCAAAGCCGCTCCAATGACCAATGCGCTGTGGGGAGGGACCTTTCGTCGATCAATTTTTCTCCCATCACGGCCTCCACCAATGTCCATGAACGTTGCGAAGTAATCGGCAAGTGGATTGGGCGTGCCCTGGCTCGACGTGTTTCGAAGTGTCCTGCCGTTTAAAATGGTTTGGATATATCTTCATCCCAATCTTACTTGTTTTACAAAGATACAAGTATTGTTGTGCGCATATTACTTCGCGTTCGAAGAAGAAAGAGGTACAGAAGTCGGGAATATGCATTTTGGATCACACAAATAATATACGTCTTGATGTATGTATGTGTGTTATCATTATAAGTGCAGTGGATGCCTCCGGATGGCGCAGGCGTCTGTTCTGCCTTGGCTTCCGGTACACAATATATATGCATGCGTGCCTGTCTATGTCGTTTTCCTCGGCATGCAATGAGGTATACGATCGTGTGCACCTGTATCCCGGGCAAGACGGTCTCGTATACGGCCCCTTATAAACGGAGAGAACTGCATATTATTGTGCTTTAGCTCTACAAACATAGTCTAAGCGCACGCCCCACCCGACGTGCTGTACAATCATGTACACATCTCTGAATTTGCGCATTCCTTCCAATGTTCGTGTTGCATCACCACAACAAGCCGTCTGTAAATGACCCATCGAAAGAATTTACAGTGCCTCCCGGAGAATGGACTTGGGTGGGTGTGTTATTAAAGCCATTGCACGAGAGGTTCGAGCGTGGTTGCTTCAATAATAGTCGAAGCGTCGAAGCGCAACAAAAATGTCGGCCGTTTCAAAAAAAAATGGGCTCTGCACGCGCAGAGCGCGCTTTGGAAGGTATGTGGGGATACCCCGCTCCGCTCCACCGTCCCGCCCCCCCGCTGTCGCTCCGATTTTGAACCGCACACCAGACACAGCCAGCACATCCATCGAGCCAGCAGCGGGAGATAGCAGCTTGCCCCAGCCGCTGGCCAACAGTGTGAAGTAATTGAAAGGAGGACGCTTGCAAACTATATCGGAGATTACGATGGCGGAAGCAGCCCCCGAGAAGGAAGTGGACACAGCATTATTGGTCACGCGCAAGAATCCACGCGGGATCCCGGAAGTGGTCTTCATCGTGAGTGCGTTCCTTCGAGACAACCAACCGCCGTAATCCTCTATCTCATGACATTGACGGTTGTCGTGTAGAGCTCCGAGAAGCGTCATCAGACCCAGGGCTTTTAGGAATTGCAGCATCATCGCTGTAGGTGGTTTCCCACACCAAAATCACAACTACGCAGTGTGTTGTATTTGCGCAGTAAAAGGGCGATGTCTTGATTTTAGAGCGTACCATGGACAGCCCCACGGACCCGTTTCAAACGTCCTAGTATGCTATTCCACCGCGGAACGGACGTCAAAATTAAATGGCATGTACAACACATTTTCGGAAAGCTCGGGTTGACACGGGCTCAACGCCGCCATTTTCGGCATCATCGCCTTTTTTTGCCGCGCAGCGCGATCAAGCTTGTTAGATTTGCGCGCGGGGGGTGTGTGGTATCTTAAGCAACGTACGGCTGTGACCGTGTAAAACACTTTGATCCGTTGGGGCTCAGATTATTCGACCAATACTCTGGCTCTACTGCACTACCAGTGCATCCCCTTTTCTCAAGCAAATTGTCTTCTCCTTCGTCACTCCACTAATGTAGGTGGATATTGCGTTTTTCACGCGCGCGCCTCGGACGACCACCTTTTTGCCCAACATGGCACCACATATATCGAACTGGACAAATCGCTACAGCTTTTTGCACCGACCATAGCTGTTCCGTTTAGACCATATTTTTTCGATATCCTTTACGCGCCTAATCGCAGTGTGAGTTCCAACAACTGGTCTAGTTCTCTGGCCGTCTTGCTTTTCTTGTTTGCAGCTGTACATTCACTCGTATCATCAAATGCACTTGAATGTGCAGATCGGGCGAAAGAGCTGCAGCCTTCCTCAAGTTGACACTGGGGTGTGCATCGACGATGAGGAAAGAATGTCGCGGCAAAGCTACAGTAGGTGACTTCCGTCGTCTAGACACAGCAATCGATTCTGCCGTCTTTTTGTCTTGAAGGCTCTTGTGCCGTTGGTCATTGGCCTATTATAGCAAGGGTTTTATTTGGGCAATTGCCAAGGACTGTGGCTGAATCCTGCCGCTGACGCCAAGTTTAAAGGAGGCGAAGCCGTGAACGGTAGATTGCTCCTAGAGGTAGATGAAGGGTCTGAGATGAAGTGGGAATCCAACTCAAGGGGCACACAGAGTAGACAATTCTAAGGGGGGATGGGTCAGAAGGTTTACCTCCTAACCAACCCGCATCCTATCAACAATAAGATGTATCCTATTCATGCTAGCAGCCACACTCCGCAACGCTTTGACTTTTACCACAATCGGTACACCTTCTCACATGGCGCCAGCAGGAAACTTGTTCGAATCTCCTTGGATGCACATATTTTCTCATGACTTGGACATTTTTCTATGGACACTAATGTGTATCAGTCCTGAGAGCACCGTCGTGGAGTCGATCTTACAAAGAACCTTGTGACACTTCCATCGAATTACCCGTCCTGGCCACGAGAGGTTCGTTCCCAGTTGAGGGTAAGTTCTGTGGGTGAACAGTGTTGAGGAGGACCCGATTCGCAGGGTACCTGTCGATTGACTTTTACCAGAATCGGTACACCTTCGCACAATTGACAGAATGGGGTATACCCCGCGTGTTTGGGCACAAAATGGGGTACACTTTTTGTCGGTGTGGGGCGCAACGCCTGACGCCGGGTAGGCGCCTTAAAACCACCTCTTAGCGCTTCAGCCCCATGCGCCAGGTTCTGAGAAAGGACGCTGAACTGTTTTTTTTGCTTTCGTCCACAGGAACAGCGTTAACTAGGGCCTGGAAAAGGGGAGCTTGTTGGAGGACCCCATTTTGTTCACAAACGTACCCCATGATGTTCAAGGCATACCCCTTTTTGTTCAGTAGTGACGCTCCTGCAGACTGCCAAAATGGCAACCAACAACCAATTGCAAACAAGGTATATAGACTCCAGACTGATCGCATATTTCGCGCACGCTCTTCCCTGCTCCGTCTTTTTTCAGGATGATGTCGTCCAATTCCTGGCGCGACTAGGTGTAGAAGAGGTGGAAACTCCCATCGGGGCCTTCAACGAGCTCTACAGGTGGGCGCTGTACAGCAGTGCTTGGTTACAGTCGAACCTTCCACGTGCGCGTGTCGCCTTTCGATCCATCCCGTATTTACCTTCAGACTTACTGTGCGTTGCCGGTATCGTGGCAAACACTCCTACAATAGAGCACGCTTCTACGTACCTCTTGACTAGCATGGACTCGTCTGCACAGCATGGTGCTGAGCCTGCAAAATCTTCATCGATCCGAAAATCAAACCGAGTTTTGGTTGTGTCCTACCTGGCCTAAAGGTGCCTGTTCGGCTTGTTGTTATGCATACATGACGGTGCTGCGATATACACAAGTACGACCAACGCGTGTCTGCGATGACTGGGTAGCTGATGTGTTTAGTCTGATTCTNGGGGGGGGGGGGGGGGGGGGGGGGGGGGGGGGGGGGGGGGGGGGGGGGGGGGGGGGGGGGGGGGGGGGGGGGGGGGGGGGGGTCTGCACGATGAATATTATCCAGATCCAAGCGACCTTCTTACGGTTCCTCGAGGCATATGATTTTCTCTAGGGAAAAATTAGGCCGATTCAAATTATTTGTGGGTCACAACATGCTTCAGTTCACGGTTTTGGCTCGTGTGCGGCCAACAAGACACCGAGCGCCCTGTTTTTGGGTCGCCTGCAGAGTGCATGTGTAACGCCATTGGCTGCAGTTTGTGGATGTCGTCGGCCAAAGGCCTCTCTCTGGCATGCGTTGTGGAAAGGTCACACTACGAGCAACCAGAAAAAAAGGGCAACGTCCAAAATAGTCAACACCAAACACACTTCGCTTCACGTTCGCAGCCAGTGTGCAATCAAAACTGGACCATTCGCTCTGTTTCTGGGACGCGAGCGCAGGGTGTGTGTATGACCACACGCCATTGCCTGCAATTTGCGGATGTCATCGGCCTAAAGCCCCCCTCTGGCATGCGTTTTAGACTGGTAGCGGGTGACACACAGAGCATACACGCGGTAAACAAGAAAAAAAGTAAAAAAAGTCAACACCGAAACACACTTCGGTTGACGTTTGCAGGCCGTGTGCACTCAAAACTGGACAATACGCTCTGTTTCTGAGACGCGAGCAGAGGGTATGTGTATGACCACACGCCATGACCTGCAATTTGTGGATGTGGACGGCCTAAAGCCTCTCTCTGGCGTGCGTTTTTAAGTGGTGACACATGCAGCAGGCGCACAAACGGCTGTTTTCGGCCGAAAGGCAAGAACGTTAGCAGAGCAATGTGGCAGGGTTGACGTTTTCGGCTCGTGCGCGGCCAACACGACGCAGAACGCCCTGAATTTTGGATACCTGCAGAGGGTTTGTGCTTGACCTTATTATGCTGGCCTCTTTTTGGCCAGCAGACGGGGTGGTTCCTCGTTCTGGCACGATCGGGGTGTGACCAGGGGGTGACCTCCGCCCATTTCTTACAACGATATTCCAGCCCGATCGCTGTCAGAAAATGGGCCAATTTTGAAGCAGGCCGGCCGGAATCCTTAGAAAAATTCAAGCTGTGAGAATTGGCCATTTTCCTTCGCGTAAGCAGCCCAAATACGTTTTGGGGCTGAGAAAAGGACCCCCCTCCAAATCCAAAACCCAGAAAACACCATGCGTGAGAAATCGCCCTCAGTCTCCGTCCTTAGCCACGAACGAACAGCCGCGCACCTACCACAACAGCACAAACCTTTTGGATGGTTTCACTCAGCGACAGCGAAGACATTTCGTCCTTGTTTTCGTGCGTTTCATACCATGTTTTTTCCCGCACAATCACACTTCACTACACACCAGGGTCACGCTGAAGTGGATTTTTTCCACTTCGAGAGCTATGTACTGTTTGAATGGGAATCGTTTTTTTTGTCTTCGCTAAGTTCGCTCATCTCTCTACTGTCCCTTTCTGTTGCGCAGCAAGTACAAGCTGATGGAGAGCAATATGGACAAAGCCAAGCAGTCCATGAAGGACAAGGTGCCGGAAATTGAGCGCTCGCTCGAGCTCGTCAGGCACCTCCAGGAACGACAGGTATGGCATGTTAACGTCAACACACTGTGTAGTGATTGTCACCATATCTTGTTGTTGTTGTTGTTGTTGTTGTCTTCACATTAAAAACCGTTCCGATCTCTCTCTACCCAGTACCTTCATATGTCGGTACTGATGCAACGCTTGACGCGGTCGATTCCCGTGGTCACAGGCTAAATTACCCTTAAAAGGTACACTCAAATACACTGGCCCCGAGGGGTCCACAAGTCAACAGAAATCAACGACAGATATTCTGGAGTCCTCCGCTCCCTCTGCGCGCTATGCGAGGTGATAACTGAGACTAGGAGTCAGCATCACGGGCCATAGAGAACGAGGTACACCCCCTTGGTTCAATTTTGGTACTAGACAACGCAAGAAGGGACAAGGCCATCTGACACGGAAAAAGAGAGGAAAAGAGAAAAAAGAGAATAAAGAGAAAAAAGAGAAAGATAAAAGGAAACAGAAAAGAAAAAAGAAAAAGAAAAAGGGCGAGGACAAAAAGGGACCAGGCCGAAAATAACAAGGAATAAGAGACAGGAAAAGGCACACGGTGGAGAGACCACTAACGAAGGAGCAAACACGCAAACGTGGCCACCAACCAGCGATACAGCGTAATAGTACGTCATCTAGCATGCATCGGGTCTCAAGATGATAAAATGTGGTTGGAATTCCATGTTCAAAAGGATGTTGTGCTGCATTATTTCGCGTATGTGCTTACTTCCGGTTTATTCCTACAAATTCGCTTCCCGCACTCCCCTTTTCTCTCTGTCAGGACAAGGGGGAAACCGTCAAGACTAACTATAACCTAGCCGACACGGTGTTCGCAAAAGCAGAACTCAAGTGTGACGGCCGGGTATGCATCTGGCTTGGGGTGAGTGTATTATTGAGCAGCGGCGAATGTAGCACTAGCAAAGCACGTTTGAACGTTTGAACCCAGCAGTGGGTGTATCGTTATGTGTTCAAGCGATGTACATTAGGCATAGGTTAGCTTGTTGGGTTCATTGTGCAATCGGCTGTACTACGTGAAGTAACAATTCGCTGCCTTGGGTGCGAGCGCTTGCGTATGTTTTAAAATAAACATCTTTCGCTTCGAAAAAACGTCAGGTGGACACCAAACCCCATGCTCAACTACGCTGGCGTTCGTTTAATACTGTCCATCTGCACACCACAGGGGCGGAGCCGTTCAATTGACGCTCGGGAAGAAGCACGCTCAGACTAATGTCGTTACCGACTACATCAATTCAAAACAGACTTGTACGCTAAAGTAATGGTTGTGCGCTTCTGCATGATTACTCCTGCACTTTCTCAGCGCCATTGTGTATTCGAACATTCAAACAAGCTCACCGCTGCTGTCCATCGGACCCCTCATACTCCAATTAAATCATATATTGATGTTTTCCGTTTGGTGTTGGCTTGGTGTGGGTCTGGTGGGCCCGTGTTTCTTCAGGCATCGGTGATGGTGGAGTACACATACAAGGAGGCTTTGGAGTTGCTCGAGAGAAACTTGGCAACTGCCCTGGAGAAACAAGTGAGTATTCGCCTTGAGGCTAAATCATGTACCACATCTGAGTTACGGCCTGCTGAGTTGTTCAACATTCTTTCTTTTTCGTGGTATGCATACGCTGTCTTACTTTTGGTTACGTGGTAGTCGAAGTGATGCAGTGTCGCATCGCCCCCACAAGCAACCTGTGTGGATGGGAGCACAGATTTCAGCGTTGCCAATGCGGGTGTGTCGAGCAGCGTCCGGACGTGCAGTTGGCATGGATTGCAGTATGCAAGTCCTTTTGTTTTTTTGTTTCATCTGGTGCACACTATCGCCAGTTAATTAACGTACTCCAGTCTTTATCCCTCGACTCCCTGACATGTGACTCTGGAGGTGGAGCGTACTACCCAAGTATCGGGGTAGCGCTTGTCCCCATCCGGTTCATTCACAGTGCCAATTCCTTTCTTTGTCGCCCTGTACGGATACAGTAGCGCTGCCGTACAAAGCAGCAGACCCCGATGCTCGCCAAAGCCGGCTTGGGGTTTTCTTTGTCGGTTCCTCAGTTTGATGTTGTGCCCTATACCGCGCGCGGCGTTTGTGTCCTACAGAAAACAACACAGGAAGACTTGGAGTTTTTGCGAAACCAGAGCATCACCGTGGAGGTGAACACGGCGCGCTTGTACAACTACGACGTCCTGAGGCGGCGGAAGGCAGAAGAAGCCAAAAAGAGGAAAAAGGAGGCTAAGTCCGCGGCGTGATAACCTGCTCATCTCGAACGGGCCCTTATTAGATAAGTTATATCCAACTCGAGTTAGCCAACACATCGCGAAAAGAAGAGTGCCGACAATCGGAAAAGCAGGGTTACACCCCTGCATGCCGCAGAACGTGTCCTAAAGCGCATGTCTGTCCTAGGCGCATGGCGGTGTTCAGTGGTAACCAACAGCGGTCCCGATACAGCGGCCATGAAGTTGAACTTGCTTAAGACATAGCCTGCCGTTGACTTTGCGTCGTGTGTCCTATAGGCCTGCTTCTGGAGCAAGCCTATTTTGCTCGACAACGATAGATACCGTTCGCCGTTGAGGTTTTTCTCTGATGCGACTGACGTTCCGGTTTTGGAGCCGAGCATGTTATTGAAGGGGGGATGAATGGGGATCTGTTTATGTTTATATCGAGGTCGAGAGTGCCGGTGTGTGCAACACGAAGCACGGAGTTAGATGTAACGTCGCCTTGTAGATTACTCACAAAGAGAGACCTGTCAACGACTCTACACTGGTGTACACTCGAAGATTTGCCATTCCATTGTTTTTTTCGTCCAAGCACGACCATCGCATGGGCGAGTTTTCGTGTTCTCCTTCTCGCGCGCGTGTGGATCAAGGCTTTTTTGCCGTCGCGATGTCAACAACGCCACCGGCCAACTTGGAGCAATCATTTCCCTTGTCGCATTCAAAAACAAGTAGATGCTCGACACTCACACGCAGCGGCGCATGGTCTCTTTATCTGTGTAAGCCTGCGGGCCCTATCTTGCCAGGACGACGACGTTTCAGCCAAGCCGCTTATACGAACGACCCCAATCTGGCACTGGGATAGCAGTCTACGTAAGACAACGGTCAAGATCAGAGATGGTCATCATGCTTTCCTTTTTCGGGAAAAATGTCCTGGCCTCTGGAGCCTCCCTTCCTCGTTGCAGCAAGGAACCGTGTACGTATTTTGGCGAGCTCCCACATGCAGTCAAAACGGTACATGAAAACCTCTCGCGCTTCACTGTCTAGAACGGCAACGGTAAGCGAAGCGCACGCGGGGCTTACAGCAAGCAGCGTGGAGCACTCAGAAATCCTGACAGTCGACCCCGCTTTAAGGACGCCAATGATTTTTCCCGAAAAAAGCGTCCTTTACGCGGGGTTGGGTCCTTAAAATTCAGGGGACGATAGCTTATCATCCCCGGGGCCAATGGAGGCATGCTATACCTCAAACTACGCGTCTTTTGCTAAGGAAGGGTGTGGTACGAAATGTCAGCATCGCCGAGACGACTGGCAACCGTTTGTTGACGTCGAACATATTTAAAAAACACTTGAAATGAGATGTACCGCAGTCGGGGACGTGTCGAAAACAACTCAAGTACACAAGTTTGTAGACTACTTGGCCAACTTGTGTACTTTATAGCCGGCAGCGGAAGGAGGAAAGTCAAGTAGACATACTGTAAACTTCGGAGTTTCCCCCCCCTAGTAGAGTTTTCCCTCCCTCCATATTACCTTTTGGAAGTAAGCACAAGATGCCGAACACCCTTAGCAGGATGCAGCGCTCCCTNGTCCGGTGAGAACCCGGCGTGCTCCGTCCCGGCTTTGTAGGGTTGCGAGGTCAATGGTCTAATGACTACGGCATGCACGACTATGAGTACACCCCCCCCCATTTCCTTTTGGGCCTGGAAGCATGGTATTTTTGATTTAGCCCCGGGGTAGATAGATCGTTTTTGACAAAAAAAAACTCCCCCGGGGATTTCAAGTTCCCCCCGGGGTACAGTAGTCTCGCCTGCCAAATTATCTCCGCTACAACTCTGTGCTCATCATGTTCTCTGCTAAGTACCATCTCTTCTTTCTGTATGATGTCTACGGAAGGCTAGTTGCCGCAGTCGCACCTATGGTAAACTGTGCCTGACTACGTTGTACTTCGAACTAACAGTTTTCCTCGACATGCACCAAAACTGGTCCAGTTTTCCCACGAGTTCCCCCCGCCGGGGGGGATGTATTTCTCTAATTTTCTGAGTCGATATTGATTGTTGCATCGCGGTGCACAAAATGCATGATATGGGACGAAAAATTAATTTATTTGCAGATAGATGTGCTCTTCGAGCGAGATTTACGTGTGTGTACCGTTTGTCACTGGAAGGCGGGCCCTTCCTCTTCTTGAAATGAATCACTTGCGGGACGAGACAAACTCCCTCGGCTGCTGTCCTCCTTGCTGTCTTCTTTCTCTTCGCCTTCGTTGCTCATACATACGTTCCTCCTCCCTCTGCTTGTTGAACGCTTGCTGCTCGGAAACCTTATTTTCTATCTTAGTTCGCCACTCTCCGTGTGTTTGGTGTGTGGACCATCACTATATTGCACAACCCCCCGGGGGGGGGCTTCCCAACGGTGGGGGGGCTTCCCCACGATGGGGAGGGCTTCCCCATGGTGTAGCGTTGGAAAGATAGAAACTAAACCTCCCCGGTACGTCAATTTTCCCCCGAGCGAGGGGGTTGGTTGTGGTTTCTTCAGAAAAAGAAACGATCCCCTGCCCGGGGAGAAAACTCCGACGTTTGTTTAAGGTATAATATTAATAGTCTACAGTCTATACATTATTATCTCATTCTTGTGAAACTAGAAAAAAACGAGCGAATTTCAGCGTCGCACCGAAGAACACCAGTGGGTCGCCCCGGTGGACTAGTGGGTAACCTCGCAGCCTGATAATAAGGGTCAGGTCATGGGTTCGAGTCCCGGAAGAGTGAGTTTTTTTCTCACTAAATATATCCTGGTGGTCTAGGATGAAAGCGAGGCGCTGCAAAGAAATCTCGTTGTTAGTAAACCATAATCAATCGACTTCGCAAGTCGCGAGGGAAGGGATTGCTGCACCCTTCTCCCGATAATAATATCTCAGGCAGGAACCAACCGCAGGAGGGGGTCCAGCCCCTCCCTCTTATTTATGTGACTGACCCCGGTTGGGTCGTCTAGCTAGTAGTAGAAGAAGTAGAGGATAGGGGCCAGAGGGGGGGCAGACGACCGCGAGAGATTCCAATGATGGGAGAAAAAATATGTATAGACTACATCCTTCGTCGTAGGATCTGTAACAAAATGTCGTGATCAATATTATTGTCAAAACATTTTATATATATATATAACTGTCCCGGCGGAGACCAAAAAAAGCTTCTCTGGCGACGGCTTTTTTTCCCTCCACATATCGCGAAGAGTTCCCTGAACCTCCCCCCCCCCGCGGCTTGGCTCTACGGCTTTCTTCTTTGTTGAGTTTTTGAGAAAACGAATGAACGGCCTTCGAAGAAAGAAGGTACTGCCTCTCACGGTACTCTCCACCCCTCCCTTCCCTTCGCGTACAAATAGGATCGAACGTCCTCCAAGCGAGAGATAATCTCGCCCTCGTTGAAGGACGAGGTTACGCACGACTTTTTTTTTGACGGCATCAGATGGACCGCCGGTGGACGGGAGGAATCTATCCATACCAACACCCAAATACAGCTGCAGCAGCAGCAGCAGATAGACCGCTCGCTACTTCTGCTGTCTGTGCGTCGCTACTTCTGCACTCAATGTGGTGTGTGGTGGGTGTATGCGGCAGACATCAGGTGGGTACCCCATTATCGTACATGCTGCCGGGCACTAAGAGGTTTCCTTAAAGCGGGGAGTTTCCCTAAATAAAGCGAGCGTTCTTGAAGCGGAGTCGACTGCACCTGAAAACACGTCATTGAACAACGTGACACCTCAAGGGGCCCTCCAATCAAGTGGAAACCATGGAACACCCCTAATTTACGTGTCAATCTTTGTCGCGCGGGGGGGCGGGGGGAGAGAGGCCTTACATGTCCCCGTTGGGGACATTTTGACCAAATCCCCGGGGTTTCCAACATTTTTCGCGCGCGTTTCCAGCGCGCGGACACGCGCGCGCACGGGACCCCACGTAGATGGAGCTAGTGGAAATTGTGGAACACACGCTGATTACGCTTCAAACTTCGTTACGACGGGGGGAGGATATATTATGACCACGCCAAAGCCTACACTATCTATGAATAGAGTTCATGGGTTTTCGAATGCGGCGCGAAAGGAAGCTTATTCTTCAGTGAAGATTATGTTGGTTTTATTTTGCACTCTGATTCCTATTATCATACAAAAGACTGCTGAAAGTGAGCCACCTAAAGTGACGATCCTGCGTGTCAATCCTGGCCTGGGAGGGGGGCTGTGGGAGGGGGGTGGGGGGGCTGGGGTGTTCCACGGTTTCCACTTGGAGGACCCCTTGGACACCATCAGCCCTCGTGCAACCCCGCACCCCGCAGTTTGTAAACGCCGACACGCCTCCAGAAATGTCAGAAACCCAACTCCTCGATTCACCCGCAGGTTAGCAAGTCCACTTCGCCCGCCTAACCGCCTTGCTTCTACTCCATACCGAAACTTCGAATGCTATCTTGAAGAGGTGAGTACGAGTAGTGGTGCAGGTAAGTTTGAGGCAAAATGATTAATGTTTGAAGTCTTTACTACAGCAGTAGAGGGACATGTTGTGTTTAAATGAACCCGACGTCAAGTCGATTCAAGTCAGTTCAAACGTCGCTACTCTGCATAGGATGAGGGTTAGATCAACGCCCGGACTTCTCGGGCTGCATAGAGGTGGGTGCGACTGTAAGGCCAGCATATCGCCTACTGAAAGTCCAACGACCCATCTCCGCAGTTGTAGTCTATCTCTCTTCCAACATTGGTTCTCATAGCAGCTACATCTGCGCATGTTCGCAAGAAGCCATGACTGCAAATTTGTATGTACAGCATGTGCCTTCGGCATTGCTCGCAGAACGACCGTAGAGCTGCAAACGACGGTTTTCTCCAACGTTGACCTGGATTGTCGCTGGTCGTTGGTATAAGTCTAGCGCAAAAATCGAAAGCAGTCAACATTCCATTCTGATTATGCAGTGTACAGAGCAAATCTCAGACGGTACTGCGTACTGCTGCAGTTGCCCCCATGTTCAACGCTACGGCTCATGTTCTTTCGTGTTTGTGTGGCGTGGAGGACACACCAGACTCGTCCTCTCATGAGAGAGCGAGGGGTGTTAAGAAACGGGAACCATACGGGTTGAGGGTAGAGTGCAAGGGAGGCAGCTGGATGAAAAAGTCCTTGTACTGCTGTACGCGGGTTCGGCGTGTCCAGCTGGCTCTATTCTGTGGCAATACCCCGAAGGTGTAGACGATAGGTCAACTGACACGTCGCCATCTAGGAGGTTTGATTCTGTGGTGGCATTGGCATTGGAAGTTAAGGGGTTAGCGCGAAGGATGTGACCCCGGTTGATAAGTCAAATACTAGTACACGTGTATGAACGTGTAGACTGGCGCCAAATATATGGAAGGACTCAAAATGAAAACAGCAAGGTGCCAGCCTTGATTCGAACTCGTTTTCCTCGGGTCTGCATGTATCCCTTCCCAACATGCGTCGTGGCCCGCTTTTATAGTGTCGGGCGAGGCAGACACAGCACAAACCCCTAGATGTGAGTGCTGCCCCGCACTGCGTTACCTTTGACCTGTTGGCGGGTATGTTTTTATGTTTGTATGTATACAAGGCTAGGCGCAAGATGATATGCCTAAGAAGTAACGTGGGATGGTTTGTGGGTGGAATTGAGCAGCTTCATATGTATTCGTCGTTGGCGGCGAGGTACATGTTCCCAACGAACGGCCTGTTTGAAACCAGTTCTCGTCTGTTCGTTTCTTAGGAACCGCAAATGGGGCGACTCTTGTGGGTAAAACCTTGGTTTGCCGAGCTTTCTCTTCACGGAAACCTTCCCCTGGAAACAGAGACAGTCCCCGCGACTTTAGCCGTCGAGCGCACATGCCACGGATGCCGGGCGAGCTCCAGATGCGCACGGTAGTGTACCGACGAGACTCTATGCGTGCCCCCAGAAGGAGCACGAGAAAGAGCCGATCCCGCCAGAGAAATCAAAGCCGAAGCAACAACAATAGCGAACTGATATATGTCCGTTCTTCCTACACCCCCCCATAGGTGCGTGATGGTTACTTCTGCTGGTGCACTGGTGGGCATGGCCAGTTGGTGCTTTGCTTCTTGCGAGGCCTTCATCGTGCCCGCCCCGATAACTCTCTCGGCTCGACCAACGTCAACCGCCGCAAGAATGTCGGCTGGCTCGGACTACGTGTCTACACTCCCTGGAGGTGGGCAAGATAGAGACAGAAAAAACAATAACGATGCCGTGAGGGATTTCTTTTCGGGG